CGAAACTCAGGGTCAGCAGTTCAAAACTACCAGCTGTTCCGCGGGAGAAAGATGAGGCGTTCTGCTCCCGTAAAGATTTACAGCCTCGGAAACCCTGTATAGGATCACTATGAGTTGGAACCGACTCCAAGGCACATAACAACAACAATACATACATGTATGGAGCACAGTGGCTCTATACGATAAGCACTGGACTACAAACCACAAGATCTGTGGTTCGACCCCACCAGGTGCTCCACAGGAGAAAGATAAGACTTTCTGCTCCTGCAGAGATTTATATCCTCGGAAACCCTATACAGAGTAACTGTGAGTTGCTATGTATATGTGTGTAAATATAAATACATACGTATGTATATGTATAGGGGAATGCCGGTGTGGTGCTGTAGGATAAGCACTGTACCATAATGTCAGTTTGAGTTGCAAGGTCGGCAGTTCAAACCTACCAGCCGCTTCTTAGAAAGCCTGTACAGAGTTACTATGAGTCAGAACTGACTCTATGGCACTTAACACGTGGTGGTGGTTATGTGCTGTGGAGATGGTTCTGACTCATAGCAACTCGATACAGTTTCTGAGGCTGTAAATCTTTATGGGAGCAGAAAGCTCCTGCAGAACAGTGGTCATTCCAAACTAGGTTAGCAGCCTGACTCTTAACTACTATGCTACCAGAGCTCCTTAACAACAGAAATACAAAAGTGTTCAAAGCTGTATCTACAAAGCTCTTTATGACTACTGATATGTCAAAGAGATATAAACAGAGTTACCGTTTACAATAGAAAGAAATTTAAAATGATTGAGCTAGCCATTACAATGGTACTGACTGCATGAATATTATATGTTCATAAAACGATACGTTCAGAATGATTTAGTATACTCATAAAATAGAATTGTGTACAGCAAGTAAAAAGAATCATATTATGTACCAATTAAAAAGTTGTCCTCGGTTTATGGTTAAGTAAAAAGGCTCCTTTTAAAAAGTTTGTTCTGATTTTGTAATAAAATTTGTAGAAAAAAAAAAAAATACAGGGAGATATATAGCAAACTGTTACCTCTGGAGATAGAGTAAGGATACTTTCATTTCTAAAATTAAAAAAAAATCTAACTGGTTTATTGTTATTGTGTG